CGTATTTTATGTCTTACATAGCAGTTAAATTAGTGTCAATGTGTCTAAATATAATTATTAATGTTGTGTCTTAAGCATGTATACCAACACTGGTCAATTAATTTGACTGGTGTAAATTATCATGGGGAAATCAAAATCACCCTTTTTTCGTATTGGACTTCCTTACTCTGCAATAGCACCATATTTGTTTATCGCTTACCAATAAACTGGTTATCTCTCACTTAATACTATATAAATATAAATTTACTTACTTTGTCAGGTACGTGTGGAGTAAATTCGCTGTATTTTGCAAACTTTTAACTTGTTGAAAAATTTTCTATCACATAGCTTATACATTATTTTTTAAAATTTTGGATTAGATTTAAAGACTTTCAGTAGGCATTTATGATATACTTTATATGCAATGGTTTTTCTTCATTATTACTGCATAATAATAAATTTCTCTGATAATGTAACCTAGATGAATTTCATTGTTTTGTTAATAACCGTAACATTTTAACACTGACAAAAGACTGATGAATTTCACTGACTGGAAATACTTATCAATCAAAACTTTAACTACTGTGTTTTTGCCCACTAATAGACAGTGTTAAATTTCACTGATTGGACACACTGAACTTTTAGTTCTATTACTGATTTGCTTAAAAGGATTTATTTTAAGGACTGTTCAATTTCAAATTTAATAAATTGTAAATATTCATCTTATGATATTATGTATTTTCTCTTCTAAAAAAGTACTTCGAAGAAGGATATTAAAAAGATTCTATATTTAGTGTGTGTATATTTCGAGAAGTTTTATTGGATAAAGTACAATAAATCAGTTACATTATTTCATTTTTAATGGACTCTATTATTTCGAAGAGTATGAATATACTCTTTCACAGAATTAATCATTTATATCAGAAATACTGTTGTTTTGAATATGTTAAGAAGAGTTCTTTTTGTGCAGTGTATGCCAGTAGAGATAAGCGTGATCTTTACTATGATTGTTAGCAGACATATCTAAAAGAAACTTTAGACTAAAAAATCCCCGTAATTAGGTGTCAGTAATATTAACTGAAATTGTCCGAAGGCTTCTAGTAATGATGTTTTGTTTTTACGGAATACAATGTTCAAACTAAAAGAATATTTAAACCACTTGTAGAAGATAATTTTAGTATTTTCTATTTGAATAAAGAATAACCGGATAAGCATTTCTAGGGAACCAGTTAGTTTGACTGTTTGAACAACTTCGAACTCGTTTCCGATCGGTTTCAACTAGAAATAACGCCACCTATCCTGCTATACCTGAACTTTGATCACACTATCTGCTGACTATTTACCCTGTCCCACCTAACCTAGTGGTCAGGCTGCTCTTAACACCGCCCCAACTACAGAAGGGGAATATAACCCTTACGGCTATTCAAAGGTGTATTTATTAGACGATGGTATGAAGAGAGTATAGAGGTACACAGTCACACCGTCACACAGCAGTACTGTGCTCATTGAATACCCAGTCGTCCGCAATCTGATCCATTCGGTACAGATAAACAAGTTAACCGTTGAAAGTGAAATGGTTGAGAGTCAACTGAATGGACTAATTTCTCTGTTCCAATACACATTAATGAACTACTATTAACTTTTGACGAGTAGAAATTATGAAAGTAAGGTTGTGTAAGAAGTTAAGTTATATGTAAGCTGAGATTTTGTAAATCCTGGCTTAATAATCCTTTGATAAAGCTATTAGCATTAAATAGCGAAACGTCAGTAAAAACAATATCGTTTTGTTTTTCATTCATTGAGAAATACAAAAACTCTTATAATAATGAGTTAGGTTATTCATTATAAGTGAAATAGGAGAGAAAAACTCAGCATCATTTTTTAAGTAAAAGTAGAAGAGTTAATACTTTATTTGAATTATTCTGAATTTCCATTTGATAGACTGTATTGGATCTAAATGTATAGTCTCGATTGTATTGTTGTACAAGAGGTGGCTATCGTATATTAATATCCCAGGGATGACAACCATGATGAGCGAGGTTTACGCTCATGAAAAGTATCATATCAGATTGCACAACTTGACTGATAGGCGACAGACGTGTCAAAGGATTCTTTCTTCATATTCAAAAATGAATAAACTGTCATGAATAATTTGCATCGAAGATTTCTGAACGAAATGCCCAAAATCTTATATTATCACTTCAAAACTGGAGTATTTCTCAATTTTTCAACAGAGTTAACTTCAAATGATGAAGGGGGGGATTTATAGCTCGGGTGGACGATTTTGAATTTGTTGTTATCTGAGCTGGTTGATTTAATTGTGAAGCTTTTGTCCTCCTTCTAGACAACATCTTCAGCGCAAGTTTTAGTATGCAATCAACTCATTTGAATTCTCTATGAATGATATAATTGTGTCTTTTTGCAACCAACTGGTTGTTGATTTACGTCTCTCTCTCTAAAGTTCAAACTCTAATTCGATAAAACTGACCAACAGAGATGTAAATCAACGATCAGTCATGACAATAGTTGCCAGTTGATATAATTATATCATTCTTGGGCAATTCAAATAAGTTCATTCCATACTAAAACCCGCTCTGAAGATGTTGTCTAGAAGGACGACGGAAGCTTCGCAATTAAATCGACCAGCTCAGAGAACACAACTAATTCGGAACTAACTTCAAATTACTACCGTTGACGCATTGGAATTCAGTTACCTACTTGTTTTACTCTGATTATACTGCTTTATTCTCACAGATAATATTTAACTTGGTTACCTGTCAGTCATAATTAATAATTTAGAATAAACGGACAGGAATAGAGAAAGAGTTATTTACATTTCAATCAAATTAAAACTGCAAACAGTACTCCATTTCACTCTTCATGTGTATGAATGATGGGTAGGGGACAGGTACATAGTATACAAAAACTACAGTGTTTGAATGTTAGACTTTTTAACTGATAAACAGAATTCAGAATGAGAAGGTTAACTTAACTAGTTACTACAGCATAAACACACGAATGATTGAAACAAAGTGAATTCATTTAGAATTTAACAGAAAATCAGAAAAGTAATGAAAAATATGATAATACTAATAAGCGATCTCTATCTGCCACAGTCGAATAATATGCTTTTAACTGATTAGTAAATAACAATTATTTATCAACGTGGCGAGTCACAAAGAATATTTTCAACAGGTTGCAGACCTTTATCAACAACTGTCTTCGCTCTATACTCAAGATGAGATGGCCGGAAAGAATCACCAACAAGAGACTATGGGAACAAACAAAACAAGAACCAATCGCCCAACAAATGTGCAGGAGAAAGTGGAGATGGATTGGACACTCGCTGAGGAGGCCGTTGGGTGACATCGCACTTCAGGCCATAGCTCGAGTGGAACCCGAAAGGGATGCGGCGGGTGGGACGTCAGTGCAAGGGTGACATGGAGGAGATCGTGTGAAGAGGAGTTGAAACAGTATGGATCAACATGGATGCAGGTGAAAAGTACGGCACAAGACAGAAGCAAGTGGAGACGTGCATTTGAAGCCCTATGTTCCACTAGGAACCCAAGGGAATAATAATAATATCAACGAATAATCTGCGAAATATGTTATTTCCCATTGGAAAAATTACTTGATGAATAATCAAAAATCAGAACAAGGATAACCAGTAAACTGTAGTCAATGAATATACACTCTTCTTTTGTACGCTTTCACAGCTTTTATTATTGATTGTATAAGCTTGTTTAAGCGTCTTGGATACTGTGGAAGAATCTAAATAGTACTAACTGCATAAACCTAAGTGTTTTCTGACTTATCATCTATTTTTCCAATAAATATCTCCTCAAATCCTCAAAAAATATTAGCTGAATAAGTTTAAGTTAATCCAGTCAAATATACCTAAACGACTACTTCTTGAACCTTCATTAGTTTATTATAAAATAGTTAAGGGTGAATTGATTAAGTTAGGAATGACTGAAGGTTCAGACATTGCATACACAAAGGAACTATTCAGTAAAGCTGGATATCTGAAATGAATTTATCCAGATAAAGTTTATGTGTTTGATAGACAGTTTATGAGTTCATTTTAACTAATAGTTACATCTTCACTCAGTATAAAGAACGAAATTATGATTTTTAACATCCGTTTTAAGTCACTTCTTCTATATGAGTCAGAAATCTGACACATGCGTCAACGAAATCATTTCCAACAAACTGCTGCAGACATTTATCAACAGCTACTTTCACTCCATATTGAAGATTATGTGGCCAGAAATAATTAGGAACAAGAAACTAGGGGAATGAAGTACCCAAGAGCTTGTTGCTCAACATATACGACAAAGAAAATGGAGATGAATCAGACAAACGCTGAGGAGATAGTCTGGTGACATTGTACACTGGGGCATCACTCGGGTGGAACTCAAATGGGAAACAACCAGTTGAGCTGTGGTCCGAGAGTGACATGGAGGAGATCGAACGAAGAGGAGATGAGAGGTTATGGGTAATCGTGGAGCCAGCTAAAGAGGACCTCAGAGGTAGAAATCCCTGATTCCCTTATACATTGCATGAGAGTTAAATAACATGAACCAGATCACTCAACTCAGTAGAACCAAAATAAGATGATGTTGATTTGTATAACTAATGCATAGATCTACCTAATTTAAGGGGCATCCCAACGACTGTTAGCATTTCCTGTTGTTTAAGACCTCCATTTAGATGTGTAAGTAATTACAGATAACTAAAAACACCAGGTTTTCGCATTGAATTTTTAAAGGCATACACAGACTGTGATTATTTCCGAAACAGCTATGGATTTGTAGTGACATGTGTATTCAATAGGTAAGAATTATTTCGCTATAGAACATTCATTGTGACTAGGGTCTTGTTCACTCCAAATAATTAATTGTGTATTTATATATAAAATATATATTTATGAAAATGTTAGTGACAGAATGTTCATTATGTAAAATTTGATTAAGTGTGCACCTACACTTAAATGTATGTTCATTTTTGTGGATTATACACTGAACATCGCAAATTAACAAATATATTTAAGCTACCTATGAAGGGATGATAAGTAGAAAGGGAGGCTAAGATAACAGAGAATATGCCACTTCATGGTAATATATATATATATAATGTGGACAAGTTTATAACACCTAATTAAAGTGCAATAAATATGATGAAAATACTCGAAAGGCGTAAACAGCATAAAATTATTATTTCATAATTAAAGCGAAATGAAAGTGCGATTATAGTGAAAATTAATTATTCGAAAAGGTACGTTTCAGTGTGCTTTGAAAAAATAACAATATGTATTCATAAAATACTTCATTATACTATTCATTTATCTTTATGGTTCTATAAGACGTTATCAATCTACAGAACCGATGACTGCATTATATTAAACTGTTTGTTTTTTTACACACTGTCTACAAGACATAATAAATTTTTTTTATTATTATGACTATTAGGTGGATAATGTTGAATAATGTTTAGGCAGAATTTGAAATTTGATCAGAAAACCTTGAGACTCCAATGTTCCAGCAGTTATGAAAACTCATGGTTGCCAATAACGCCTAATTCCCTCTTAACCACTAGGCTTTTTTGTTCATGCAAAAAAGGCAACTGGTCGGTTTGTATGATGATTTTAATGGATTTGTTAATTTAGAGTCTGATGAAAGTTGTGGAAAATAACTGTTCTCCCAAATCTCTGTTGGTTTAATCATAGATAGCTGACAAAAAATCGACTCTAATCTTATTTTTTTCAATTTAAATCATCATTTTTGAATAAAACACTTATGTTGTTACTTACGGCAGTCGCATTATGTTGGCCAATTATCTACTATGGAGTAGTAAATGACTTTTTTGGATTTCCCAAGCGATTGAATTAACTTATCTAGCCGATTTGAAGCTGAAGTGATATTCGTTTACCTTTGTTCCTGTGACGCATAAGGTTACGTAATATTTTTATAACACTACTCTGTTTAGGAGTATGGTCTTTCTTACGTAAGCCTTCTGAGAGCACAATCTGTTGTAGTAGAGGATTAAGAATGCCTTAAACGCAGATTAACATAGTTTTCTGCTTTGATATTATACTATATTATGAATTACTCAAACTTTTTGGTTGTAAGCTCCAATAAAGTTTACTTCATGAGGCAACTGTCTTATTCCATCCTTATATTTATGTTTGCTTTTCAAACTATTAACTAGTTAGTTTCATGCTTTCAGTGTCTAACTCAATAGTACTACCCGTGTTTATTTCCAGGTAGAATAAATTTCATTTGCATTTCGATGACAGACTGTTTGTGCAGTGAACCTCAAGTGCGGTTTTAAAAGAGTCAAGTATTCTCGATTAATAGTTTTGTGAACAGTATTTAAAGGTTTCATATAAATTATTCTTATGGTATATTTTACGATGCATTCTGTGTATATACCTACGAAAATGCATTAAATGGAATATTTTAGGTGACAGTTTAAGTAGACAGTACCTCAAGAGCTATTATAATAATCTTCGTAACATAGTTATTATGCTTAATCATTAGCCACATTTTATTCTTTATACGCTTTAATATAAGCATAAAAATTTAGGCACAGAAGTTATGGTTAACTTGTTGACAGACTTCCCATATTCACCTTTAAGCAACTCATCTGGACATAAAAACTGTAAATCTACTTCGATCTAAATATGAGAAATGATTCTCAGATTCATAACTAAATCTTAGACTAGTTTATGCCAGGAATGGGTAGTTAAACCAAATAAAATCCTTCAGTCATTTCTCCCCTCATATATTTACTCCCTTTTGTGAATTTGAATAAAGCAAGAGCAACAGTTTGTGCAGAATAATATGGTACCGTCATTTATTTCCTTGACTTCTCACCAGCTGCTTACAGCCCAAATAGATTATTGAGTTTATGTACAGAAAAGTTTTAACATACTTGCAAATTTTACATAATGTTAGTTGACAAGTAGTTCCGAACTTGGTGAAAAGTGCTCAAAAAATACGCTGGTGTTGTTTCTGCACAAAGAGTCCAAGTTTTAACAAAGTAAATGTATGCATACAATGGTAAAGGAGTTACATAGTAAAGACGAGAGGTGCGTAAGATGATGAGTAACTAATAAATTAGGTAACAATGTACTGAGTTCAACTCAAAGCATATTAACAAGAGACAATCAAAATTACACTACTTCAAAGAGGATGTGTGTGTGACGTTAAAGCCGAAGATCACGTAATCAAATGAAAGAGAGAGACGTTGAAGACATCCAATTACCAGGGCCGGCTAGGAAAGACTGATAACTGCTTCTTTCTGAACACATAAATCGGGTTACAGGCGTTTGATAGAGATTGCTTCGACAAACTTGAGGAGCATTGAGCTTTTTTGTCTATTGATAATTTTAAAGGATTTTGCGATTTCCACCTCATGACCCGTATCAAGGAGATGTCTGGTAATGGCACTATTGTAAGCGTTTGTTCCCTTGAAACGTAGGTTTTTCGGTACATGTTCAGAAAATCGGAGGTGTGCCCTTCTTTCTGTTCTCCCAATGTAACTACTTCCGCAGATACACGTAAATTCGTACACAATTGGAATTAATATAAGATATCTGTTGACTTTTGACTGCATCAAGAAGCATGTTGTGCGATAGACAGGGACCAACTTAGCTGCAGGATTGGCTCTGATCAGTGAAGTACTCAATCTTCTGTTGACTGTTGTTGCAATATTTTCATCTTTAAAATCGATTTGAATTAAGAGCAAGCTTTTTACCACTGTGATTTGTTCGATATTTGAGACTTGACACTTTCCATATTCGTTAATGAATCTCTGAGGCTAACTGTTGTTCCTCAACATTTTTTCGAGAATCAGTCAGTAAAATAATGAAATAAGGACGTAGAAATTTAGAAATTAGTAGAGGTAATGTCTAATAACTGACTGATGACAGTTTTGAAAATAAGGGACTGAAGTCAAATGAACCGAACTAATCAGATCTGAAGAATTTTGTCTTTTTAATACCCACCAAATGCGGAAATGTGTAAAATATTATTATCAATTACCCATATTTCTGCATGTTTTAATTTAATAGGCTGTCACATACTTTCAACTCCTGATGTTATGTGAGTCGTCATTAATTTAATTGATTGCCATTTCATTTAATGATGGAAATTTTTTAGAAATTATAAGCTGTCTAAAAAAGCTTAATACATTAAAACTGACCATTACTCATACCCTAAAGATTTGTTTCCTGTGTTTTCTTATCCATTTCTGACTTTATTTTATCTAGAACTGAATAAAAAATCATGAACACACCTTGGATGACATCTATGAGTAACGATACAAGTATTTTCAATCCTTTCTGTCTTTCAACAAGAAATGCTTTAATGAATGTTGAACAAAAAGATGCTAATTATTATTTGGAACAAAATCTTAAATCAAAATATGCTTACAGTTTTCAAGGATTTAATGATCCGAATAAAAATTTAACAGATTTCAATACTTCCTGTAATTCTATATTCATTAATGATTCATTTGAACAATCGAATCCAATTCCATCAGTGGTGAAAAATGTAATGGATACATCTAAAGAGGACTTATTTACTCTTGCTAATTATACTGATAGATTAAAATATGGTGCCAGTAGATGGGAAATTGATAGTAATTCTAAATCAGTTGATAATCACAGTAGAAACAATGATACACTCTCACATGTATCAGATAAAAGTAAGTCGAACGTTAATGTGTATCAGATGATTATTAAAGTGTATGTTTTGATTTCAGTGTGATCTAAATTGAGATTACTTCATTTTCTTGAGTTTTATAACTACTAAAGAGGATAACAAACCGGAGAAACAGCAAAGGTCACTACAGTACCTAAAGTCGCACGGTTACCCCCACCCCGTCTTAATTTAATGCCAAGTAGACAATGCTTCATTCTACTGCCAAATGATTAAGAGATGCTCAAAAGTTAATTCTCTGTTAAAGTATCTGCTTAATCAGATTTGTTAATTCATACTACAGCTTTTACTAAGTTATAAGTGACTGATTACTGAAAACTCTATGTCAGAAAAACTTGTGAGAAAGGTATTTTATTTTCCAGTATATACATATATATATTCTCAAAGTGGTGGTCAAAATCACCAAATCATTCCCTCGCATATATAATCATATGTGCGTTGGTGGCAAAGCGATCAGGAGGCTTGCCGACTATTCACATAGTCCGGGGTTCGATCCCCGGCCGACGCACACTTGATATCAATGGTCGGTGTGCTAAATTTGGGCTACCGATATCACATGCTGGAAACTCCATACTTGTATTCAAGTATTGGTTTGTAGGAATTTGGTTGATTGGTTACAGGATTTCATCATGAGTTGACATTGGGTACTCGCCGAAGACATTGGCTAGCGGTAGCGCTATATCGTGAATTGGAATAAGTTAGAATTCATGGGCCAATGACTTAGTGGTATACAAGCTCGCGTTGTAACCAGAATGTCCTGGGTTCGAACGTTGGTGGCGGGTGCGTACTGATGAAAAGTCCCAAACTAGGACGAAACAGCTGTCCAGTACTCCCAGGTTTCCCAATGCTTCTCTAACCAATGTCAGCTCATAATGAAATCCTGTATCCATACTTATATCAAAAATACTGTGTGGAGTCAAGCCACAATAAAACAAAAAAAATAAATTAATAAATTAAATATCCCTTAACAAAACCTGTTGCATTCTGTACTACTTCATCAGTTAAATATATTATACACTGTGTGTGCATATACAAAAATGATATCTTCAAGCTACTTTATTAAAATTACTAACATTTACTGTTAGTGCTCATACTTATGTAATCATAGCTAAAATATAAACCGAATAACCCGGGAAGGAGGGGTATTAGGTGTGTATATATGTATGCATTGTTGAATTACATAATTTCCTTAGCTTCCAACTAACTAGATCGAGTTAAATTCTACAAAATCTAATACTGACATACAAAACTCATTCAGACAGAGGTGGTTTCCATGAATTTGTAACTTAGTGGTTAACATAATAGTTGTTGTGATGTTGAGTGAGATGCATGCATATCAAGCTTATGAGTAAATGATACAGTATCATTGTTTGGTGATGGGCACCGTCGGTGGGATTATGTTGAATGACTGCTGGCAACAGAATTTAGTGATTTTCAACTAAAAGTTGTCAGTAAATTGAAATCATTTAATCATTACATCTATCTCAACCTTTGACAGGAAGCTTTAATAAAACTACGCATTCACCATATCCCTCAATAAACTAATCAAATCAAACTAGCTAGCGCCATTTAAGCGGAGTTTCATAGAAGCCATATAAACGTCTGTACATTTGATATATGCGAATAATAACTGATTACCAGTCCAATTCAAGTGAAGTACACTTTTGTTTAGTACGGTGAAAATAAATCAAATAAATAGCTGAAATTTAAGTGAGAATTTTAAAACTGGATATCTCAAGCTGAACCATCCAAGCTTATTAGTAGAGAAGACTTTTCAGCTATTTCACTAACTTAATATAGCTCAAAATATTTTAAGACTTAACGTTTAAATTCATTTATGTTGTACGTTAAAGCTTGTCATATCCCTTCGAAAATGTCTATATTACAGCATACAGCTGTTATGTTTTCATACTTCCGAAAATTAACAGATTCAAGCCATAAACTTATTTGTATTGTTTGAATAATGGAACGGTGTTATTTTATCTTGAACAACATGATAACTGTATATGTTAATATCCGATATACATTCATGATACTTTCCGCTAAATAATAACAAGTAAACAAGTAAAAATAAAGTAGCAATGTGCTCAGCTATACAGACTGGGTTCACAGGCTGCATCCTGCATAAAATCATGAGTATGTGCCACTGAAGAATATCAGCGTGGCATAAAACGACATTCCAATACTGTTTGGTTCCTGTGGTTTTGTAATTTCAATCTATATATGAGAAGAACTTCACAACACAAATCCCATGAAATTCAAGAAAGAATTAAATAACTGATTATTTGAAATGAATTTGTCTCATGGAACGACTAAAATTTAAGTTAATTTGCTTGAAAATTTGAAATCAACTGGAAGAACCATGGAGAACACTTGCGGTCACCGCATTCCGACCTATCGGCTGTATGTAAAGCTGATCTCATAGTAAACTGACAGTCTAAGATCTATAAAACAGAAAGATTGAGCGAAGAAATATTTACTTTTCAATTAGACCCTCATCTCTGGCTCTACTCTAATATATATATATATATATATATATATATATATATATATATATATTAGAGTAGAGCCAGAGACACTTTCACTGCAACTGTCAGAGCAAAGCAAGAAACACTACGTGGCACCACTGAGGAATCATCCGTGGAAGACCATTGGAACTCTCTGAAGGTAATTTTCAACGAAACGTGCTCAACGGTTTTAGGAAGAAAGAAGAAACAAGACAAGGAATGGCTCTCAACAGACACTTGGAAACTAATAGAGGAGAGGAGAAAAGTGAAAGAGAAAATGATTCAATGCAAAGATGGACAAGAGAAAGAGACGCTGAACTCAACTTACACAGCACTTGACAAAGAAGTGAAGAAGAGTGCCAGGAAGGACAAAAGACAATTCTACGACAACCTGGCTACTGAAGCTGAGAAGGCAGCAGGCAAACGGGACCTGAGGACACCATATCAGATAACCAAGTCTCTATCCGGGAAGAGATCAACACAAGTGAAACCTATAAAAGACAGCCAAGGGAACCCAATTACCAAAGAAGAAAGACAGATTAAACAATGGGTGGACCACTTCAAAGGACTCTTGAACCGACCACCACCTACAACCCGTCCAGTAATACCAACAACAGCACGTACACAACTGCAAGTTGACACCAATCCTCCAACGAAAACTGAAGTCATGAATGCGATCAAGCTTCTGAAAGCTGGAAAAGCAGCTGGACCAGATGGAATACCCCCGGAAGCACTGAAAGCGGACCCAGAAACGACGGCAGATATGCTGACTCCATTATTGCAAAAGATCTGGAAAGAGGGAAAGGTGCCTACTGACTGGAGGAAAGGTTACCTGGTGAAACTACCAAAGAAGGGCGACCTGGGACTCTGCAAGAACTGGCGAGGAATCATGCTCCTGTCGACGCCAAGTAAAATCCTGAGTCGCATCATCCTGGAGAGAATCAAGGACGCGCTGGATACAGAACTCCGACCAGAACAAGCTGGATTCAGGAAAGGCAAATCATGTTCTGACCAAATTGCAACTCTACGCATTATCATCGAACAAAGCATGGAATGGCAATCAAATCTCTACCTCAACTTCATAGACTTTGAGAAGGCCTTCGACAGCGTTGACCGCGAAGTAATTTGGAAACTACTCGAGTACTACGGCGTACCGCAAATATTCATCAACCTTATTCAACAACTGTACGACAACGGCACATGTCAAGTGATCCACAACGGAAAACTCAGCGAAGCGTTTGGAGTAAACACAGGAGTCAGACAAGGGTGCTTATTATCACCAATGATATTCCTAATTGTGGTGGATTGGATTATGCGTCAGACAGTGGGAAACGAGAAGACAGGGATATCCTGGACCGACGTGAAGAACCTAGAAGACCTGGATTTCGCGCGTGGATGATTTATGTTTGATGTCACACAAAATCGAAGACTTACAAGCGAAAACCGACAAACTGGTCGAAGAAGCAGCAAAGACAGGACTCCAGGTGAACATAGACAAGACGGAGGTTATGAAAATAACCAACCAACAACAGCAGCAACATCCAGTGCCAATCACCATCAACGGGAGGGATTTGAAAGAGGTTACTTCATTCACTTATCTAGGGAGCATTGTCTCAACTACAGCAGGAGAAGAGCGGACGAGGATGTCAAATCGAGAATCAGGAAGGCGAGAAACACATTCATCAACCTGAAACCAATCTGGAAATCTTCGTCACTCACCATCAACAACAAAATTCGGATTTTCAATACAAACGTCAAGTCAGTTTTGCTTTACGGATGAGAAACTTGGCGGCGGGTCACCAAGAATATTTTCAACAGGTTGCAGACCTTTATCAACAACTGTCTTCGCTCCATACTGAAGATTAGACGGCCAGAAAGAATCACAAACAAGAAGCTATGGGAACAAACGAAACAGGAACCAATCGCCCAACAAATATGCAGGAGAAAGTGGAGATGGATTGGACACTCGCTGAGGAGGCCGTTGAGTGACATCGCGCGTCAGGCCAGTGCTCGAGTGGAACCCGAAAGGGAAGCGGCGAGTGGGACGTCCAAGGGTGACATGGAGGAGATCGTGTGAGGAGGAGATGAAACAGTATGGAATAACATGGACGCAAGTGAAAAGTACAGCACAAGACAGAAGCAAGTGGAGACGTGCAGTTGAAGCCCTATGTTCCACTAGGAACCCAAGGGAACAATAATAATAATATATATATATATATAGCATTTTTATTACAATACACAACAGTTTACCAATCAAGTGGCGATAAGTTTGTTAACAATAATTAGTCATTGTCTAAGATCTGTCATGATGCCATATACTTTTTATTGATTTATATGAGTACTTGGATACCACTCACATCAGCTAGTGGTGCTTGTTAGCCAGATCGAAGTTATCTAAACACCAGAGGTCTGTTCCGTCCTTTTGAGGCTGAGGTCATTAGCGGTATACCCTGTTTGATTGAGCTAACATAGCTCAGTTCAAACTACCCAAATTCTGGCTAGCCACTTGGTTGAACTGGTAATACATCCGACTGAATTAGCTTGGTTTGAACTGATTCTCCTCTTTGAGCTCAGTTGAACAGGGTGCAGCTCTAATGAGCTCGGCCAAAAACGAGCAAAACAGATGCCTAGTGCTTAGACCACTTCTAACTGGCCAGCAGGAACTGCTGATCGATATGAGTGGTATCCAACTGCTCATTTCATTGAGTAATATGTAGGTAGCATCATGCATTTATGCTTGCTTTCTTCATTGCCATTTGTGATGCCCAGTAGATCACAAACTGTGGTATGAATAATTTCGGTCTCCAAAGGAAAGTTTTTTGAAACTTCACTTCAAACTGTATAAAGAGCAAATCGTGAAATAATTAGCAAATTGAGAATTAGACCCTAAGACCTGTTACTCGTGAGATCATCTGTATGCATTTGGACTTTGAATAAATCGAATGTTCATATATTCAACAACTCTATCTTGAAATAACATGATTTTATAATTAGGTGCCACTGAAAATAATATGATAAATTCGTACTGTTCATAAGAAAAAAATGTACCAAAGTTACGAGAATAATAATAATAAAAGTGCACACCCGCCTCTAAAATACTTTAATATGTACACAGCGTTCCATCTCATAGGAATTCTATATTATTAGTAAATAAGACCAGAAATTATGATACCGGCTGCTATTGGATGGCAGATAATTTGTACATAATCATGTTCTGTCTCACATTAGCAAACAATTGGGTGAATCAATGTGTGCACTCACTTCTTGTAAAATCATTAGTCCCTTTGAAGTTGGAGATACTTTATACTACTAAATGTTGACCGCCAAGAAACTTAATCCATGAGCTTTAACTGTTCATCATTGAATTCCAGCTGATCGATTATTTGACATTGAAAAGAGAGAGGTTCAATTCCCGGCCTACTCACTCCTAACCCCCCACTAAGCCAGTAGTAAACCCGATAAAGGGGGACGGTTGAGCGTAGGCTAGCGATCCCACCCCATAAAAATGCAACCAGTGCTACTGAAACTTCGAAGCTTGAAGCCCTATGTTCCACTAGGAAAGCAAAGGAACAAAAAAGGAGAATAATTTATCGTCGTGTACAGTAAACTTAATGAATTATTTGTTCTGACATTTTTTTCATCTAGTAATATTTCAAGATATACTTTTAGAATAAAGAAAAAGGCATGTCAAATGGTTTATTACCTTGTATCAACTCACCAGTAACACTTAAGATATCAGGTACGTCTCTGAATCATAACAGTAGTCTTAAAATAGTGAATCTTTTTAATATAATTTAAGAATCCTGAATAATACTATTCACATTGGAAGCTAATGCTATGCAATGTCTTCAAAGTGAGTTTAATTAAAGCGACAAAATTACAGAATTAATTAATTTGAAAGTGATATATATGTGCATTAAAATGTATTTTTCACCATCTTTCATTAAACAGTTGAGCATTACAGAAGAAAGTCAAGAAAACCGTATTCAAGGCAACAACTTATGGTTTTAGAAAAAGAATATTCACTAATGCCATATGTTACTCGTCAAAGAAGATGGGAAATTTCTAATAAATTACAACTGACCGAAAGACAAGTAAGATAAGTGAATAAAATTCTCCCATTTTTCTTAGTTGTATTCCCATACTATGTGTCTCCTTTAATTTGATTGTCAGAAGGTTTGAGATTTCTTAAAACACACACATCAGATATTACATACAGATTGGAATTTGTAAACTTGCTTCCCGAGATTTCATTCGACTGGTGAACCAAACATTAGAGGTGAATAGCATTCCTTCGGAGATTTGAATATAGTACTTATTGCTACCGATGACAAAGCTGTGTCCGTCAGTCTACTAGGCTAAAGTTAATCCAACTAAATAAAGGGCACTTAAATGACGCTTGAAGCAGTTTCAACGCCTCCATCTGCAAAAAGATCCGCACTTTGGCTAGGAAAATTCACCAGTGGGAAACTAAAAGCATAAATAGATGACTGAGTCATGAAAATTAGGTACAGACGGTTCAGCCAAGATGGATGACACACAAAGAAATGACTTAGAGTAGTAACTAACCCCGACGCCTCTTAGTTTAAAATTTCTGGTGGAAAAGTTCCTACGATATTTATCAGTGAAGACTTTCCTTACTCCTGAGAAAAACTGCTTGAGTAATTTCAGTACAATGTCTTTTTTGCATTTATGATTCTAAAACTCAGCCTTATAACAACAGTTATGATTCCTTCTTTGAAATGTTTTAGTTTAATGACTTACTGAGTGGATTTTAATGAGTACATTTTGTAATGAGTGCATATCACATTCAGTTAACAGAGTTTAAGGGGATAGTAAGTCAAGATTTGGTTTTCGGCATATTTTATGGAAAAAAACTATTGGAACCCCTCTAGGAGATCAGTTAACAGAAAACTAACTTGAAATGGATAGTATACTATTCCTAATGTGAAAGACAAACTTCCTTCATGAATTCTGTGTAGTAGTCAGGAGAATTTTTACAGGTAATGGAGTAGATGAAAGGCTTGAAAATTGTGTTAGATGCTTCCTCAGAGTTGTTGCCTACGGACCATGCAGTCTAGTTGCAAACTAGGTTATCTTTTCACTTCAATAATCATGGTTTATGACCAGTTGGTCTTTAGAGCTGACTCTAATCACGCGAAATTAGAAAGAGGAAGCAAGTTGTTGCTCGTTGATGAGGCTTCTGGAGATAGCTTTGGGTAGCTGGACCATTACTGAGGTAGTAGGAGGGTACTGGTTCAAATTCTGCCTCATTTTCACCATCAGTCATTAAATAATTATTAAGTACGGATTTTCCGTGAACTCATTTCGCGTTAAACTGGTTTGGTTGCTCGTGATTCAATCAGTGGATCATTAGTTGAAGTCTTCATTAGTCAATCAATATAAGTGACCTATAAATAGTAAGTGATGGAGATTTCAGCAGAGATACGAATCAATTCATCGTTACTTTAACCGCGGTTTTCAGATAATATTATATCAGTGATTAAAATGTAAGCATGACGGTGATTTGAAATTAGTATTCATCAGTGTATTCAATTTGAGGAAATGAAACGCGAGTTTTTCACTCTGTGCCTCTTGTCTGGGTAGAAGTATAGTCATTTTTATATAATCGAAATCTAGTAGTAGTTAATAGTCAACAACAGTAAATAGGCATCTCCTTAAACTGTTTTAGTCAAATAAAGTTCAGGTTTTCTATAATTGGTATGTAAGGATTAGTTTTGTAATTACGAGATGATCGTAGATTGATATTGGTTGGTGAACCATTGAAAACCAGGGGGTACTGGACAGCTGTTGTTCCATCCTAGTTTGGGAATCACCGGCAGTACGCACCCACCACCAGGGTTCGAACCCAGGACCTTCCGGTTACAAGGTAAGCTCGTATACCATTCAGCCACTGGGACTCGATTCAATGGCCCATGAATTCTAACTTCCACCAATTCGTGACTTAGCGTGACCACCACCAAACTCTTGAAAGTTAATCTGATGCTTGCTAGTGGCTTGCTACAAGACAGAGTTTCCTGGGGTTCTAGTGAGAAGTCGTGACCAGTGAGGTCCAACCAGTCAAGTATGAGGATGGAGTTCCCACCGATGATATTGGTTGGTGGTTGTGCTAAATCACGAATTGGTAGAAGTTAGAATTCATGGGCCATTGAATCGGGTCCCAGTGGCTGAATGGTATACGAGCTTGCCTTGTAACCGGAAGGTCCTGGGTTCGAACGTTGGTGGTGGGTGCGTACTGCCGATGATTCCCTAACTAGGATGAAACAGCTGTCTGGCAGTACTCCATGCTGGTTTTCAATGGTTCTCTAACTGATATCAATCCGTGATCACCTTGTAAAAAGTTCAGGTTATTATGAAAGATGGAAACTACATCTTTATAACTAGAGTTTAATCGATTTTTGGCATAGAAAATACAATCTAATGATATTTACTTTGAATTGATATTGTTTATTTTGTAAACAGACTTTCACTCCACATACTTAGTACTTTTTTTACTCGTGTCATTTTTGCATAAATTAAATTTAGATTCACTTTGTGTAATGGTTGGTGTTTTTAAAAAAAAATAAATAATGTCTACATAATAAATGGGACCAGAAATATTTCATAGAACAGCTTTTATTATTTTCAAGATGGTAACTATTAAAGGTGTAGTTATTCTAAAGCTCGAATAAATAGCGAATAGCTTTATATGTTGAAGAATAGTTTTCATTTGTTTACACTGTGACCAGTAAGATTAAACTTCTTTATATCTTTTCAGTGATTACAATGAAATCATAATCACTTTAGTTAGTATTAAAGTGACAGAAACTATGTAAGTTATTCAGTTAAATTCTGGAAAAAAACTGCACAATCTCCACCCAAGTAGTTTGTGCAAATGCCATTGATTTGACAAGGTATCTGCTTCGAAAACTTACACAATACCCTAACTTTTTATGCCATATATTTCAAATTTACTCTTCAATGATTAGCTTACTATAAAAATTCTATTTTAGTATTCCCATTTTCGAGAGCTGCATAATTCATGAATAATTCTTATCCCAATTTTACTAAAAAACGAAACAGATAGTTTAGCAAAGAGTCTCTTCGGTGAATTCATTTTCTTTAGCTGTAGAATCTCATTTGTATACAGTTATTTCTCGTAAAAGTGGATATTAAGAATGGGATGAATTGCCTATATTAATCATTACATATGACATGTTGAATAAGGGTGATAGAACTGTGTATTGAGACAAATAATTTCATAAGTGAGTTGCAATTGGGATGCACATATAAACAATGAAATTTTATGTAATCTAAGATTTCGGGAGGATAGATGATTCAGAAAAGGTTAGAGAAACAAAATAAAATAAGTAAGACAGTTAGGTTGACAACAATAGGATCTTCACCATGATAAGTGGAAGTGGGTGGAAGATTTTGTTTTGCATGCACAGCTCCGGTCTCTCTGCCTGGTTGTTTAAAGCTTCAGTAGTGCAAAAGAGGAGAAAGTGGATCGTCTTAGGCAGGTTACTTGTCACTTTATAGATCCCTTCAGTGGAGGCGTTCGTTGAAACAGAGTAGCCAAGGTGTTCAGTTTCTGCACATCTTATAGAACAGCTGCTATCCTTCTGGAAAAATGCGGGGTAGTATTCTTATAAACCATTTATACAGGATCCACGTCGAATGACTAATATACTTGGCTCCACAAGAATGGGTGAACTGATGTATACACAGGGAAGTGGTCAAAGGAGGGATCTTGTTCTCCGGGCTTCTAGAAACGCTACTCTTAGTGTTGCTTCGAAGAAAGTTCTACTAAAAGAAGCTGAAATTCTCTTAAAGACATCACTGAGTAGGTCCCCTGTGAAGTCAAGATTCAAGTAAAGTTTATTTTTTGACACAGATGATGTCTCATGTCTTTGAATTTTCGACTTGATATTCTTGTCAACATCTTGGATGAAGATTTCTTCCAAAAAGTCTGATTGTTCTTCCTGAGCATTAGGGCCGCAGATGCTTTGGATGTGAGTAGCAACAGATATAATTGGTTCCCGTTCATGTCCACTTAGTACTCGGCTACAGAAACTTGTCATTTGGCCATTCCATGTGGGTTTCCTATGGATGGACTACCTTAAAGTTCCTTCGGCCCTTCTTGTAAATTCAGTAACAAGAAAAGGAATTTTAGATCCATTTTCTGTTTCAAGACTGAAATTTTTTGCTAAATACCAGTTGTTGAATATCTGTAACAATTGACTGAGATCATGACTATCATCACAGATAATGAAAATATGATCCACATATCTAGCATGCAATTGAAAATTATCAATAGTTGACTTAAGTCGATCATTCTCGAGGCTTGCCATGAAACGGTCTGCTGGCAACATACTAAAGGAAATCCTACTGTGATTCCATATTTTAATCTGTCAATGACATGGTCGAACGTAAATTGAACATTAAGGATGCATCTCAGTAGTACTTCAGTTCTAAAATACAGATTCCTACTTTACAAACTAATTCTCAGCATATTGTCACTTGGACAGTTTAACGTGAATCCTAATTTTTTACTTTCTTGCTCACCACCAGCGGTTTACTTCGCTTCTTGCATAATGTTCTTGTATTTAACATTGTTTTTATTACATGAGTTTATTTGTTCTCAAATATTTTAGTGAATCTTAAGTAATTTCCATTTTCCTCCTGTTTTCATGATGAAAATCTAATAAGAATGCTAATTTCGGTAAATGTATTGATTTTCATCGATATTAACTTCACTTATATATTATTATTAATACCGTCTTATAATTGGTGGGAATGAACTCATGGAAAGCTATTATGTTTTCTGAAGTATTTTTCAAACAAAAATCTATTTTTATTAGAAATGGGTTCTTTTAATGTTCACCTTAGGTTGAAGAATAAGGGTGATTTTGTAAAGTTTCCTAATATAATATAAACAGTTTATCCAATTCAGAATACACTGACCTGGTGGACTAAAACAACTTAACTCATTTTGTTGCAAAAATAGACAATAGGCTGGTTTAAGAGAAGCATTTAACCGCTTGAGATTTGGTAAGATATTGTACGATGATACTATTCTGAATTCCAGGTTATATAACGTCCAAACTTCTTCATGCAACCCTTCAAAAGGTTTTAGGCCGATAGTGTTTCATGAAAAACGCTATTGGACAAATGATAACTCCTATTTAAGTCACACAGACTATTGAGAAATTGGTAATTACATGGTTTATTTCGATGAAATTATTGCTTGAGTGCACCATAAAGAAGGAATTTTTAGTCACTTCCATCGATTAAATTTACTCCTGCAAGACAAAATCCTTAAAGCACTCTGTTTTGTTATATCATTTAAGGTTAATGTTTCGACGGTGAAGTATCTTTTTTTATGCTGTTAACGTCGCTTCTACGTATATTTTCATTGGACATCACTTTACGAATTTCCATGGGTTACTGAAACCTCGTCCAAGCTAATGAGAGAGAGATAGGGAATATTATACAGGCTGGATAAAATAGACTTCTACAAAACGGCATTAAGTACAACTGCATCTTGACGGTTTAAAAAAAAACAAATCAAACAGTGTAGAGAAAGCCGTTCTGGAAATAGCACTGTGTAAAAGGGGAAAAGAGCAGGAAAAATGTGAAAAGAAACAGTTAAACTTTACAAAGTATCAGTGACAAGTTGAATTTGATCCAGGTTTCTTTTGAAGGGTCAGACAACCCAACAGTGAACTCATCGGAAATAATAAGGTTCAGAGTGAAATTAATGTACAAATGCACCCAAAATAAATTTTATTAATCATCCATAAAGTAACTTTAATATGTTGGTAACTTTTGACAATAGAATCCAATACTCAGACAGCAACAAAACTACCAGAAATAAACTTCAGTATTCGATGATTTTAACTCAATCATTCAAAGTACTTTCATCCAACCGGTTCCCTTTATTAGTTTGGATAAAGCAAGAACGAACATATTTGCATCATAATACGAGCTCGTTTTATTTCATGGATTCTCTTCAACTGCGTACATCCCAAACCAAATCACTTATTAGTTAAAAAATTTCTGGACATAGTTTTCACAATGACTTCGAGTTACAGATAGAAAGTATAGACAAAATAATTCCAAAAATGATGTAGACAGACGATTTATTTAGTGTTTAAAGACTAACTGTTTATACAATAATTGAAGAATCGGAGTCGAGTTCAGATTTCCCTTAGAAACAAGAATGGAAAGGAGACAAAATAAAACATAGAATGTACACATATTATGATGGAGAGTTTATGAGGGTGAAGGTGAATAGTTCTTTTCAGGACGTCCTCAATTCTTTCTTCTGTTCTTGTGGATACTTCTTCCTCTTAGTACGCTTGAAGTTTTAGTAGCAGTGTTGTTCATTTTTACAGGATGGGGTTGCTGGCCTCATGACCAACCTTACCTCTTTACCAGTCTCATTACTAGCTTAGCGAGGTAAAGGAGTGTGTCGGCCAGGGATCGAACCCCAGACTACATGAGTGGTTGGCAAGCATTCTCCCACTGTGTCACCGATGCACTCTTAGTACGCTAGACAGATGACAACTGGTTTCCTATCAGTTTAAGATGTACGCAGTTGAAAAGAACCCACGAAATAAGACGAGCTCGTATTGTAACAACAGAAAGCAAGACACGGAAGCCAAAGTATATTTTTCATTAATCAAACCGCTGTTTAAACATGTACAGTTTATATTCTTTAACCAATCACTGAGCGTGTGATTTCCGTTTGCATCAAACGACAAGAAATAGATTGTTAAATAGATATATCGTATTCTGTTGTTAATGCCGAAATGAACTGTGGGAACATGAGAGAATAACATTCCGTTGGCACACATTGTCTGTATCACAGCACCACAGTATTATCTTGCAAATATTTTCGTTCTTTCTTTATTCAAAAAAATTTAAAGTACTCTTTAGAGTCACGATAATCCTATATTATAAATGCCGATAAAGATTTTTTAATACTAACATGCAGTAAACCTTGTGTAATTATTCCGCTTAATCATACAATGAAATGTTAATCTAAGTTAGTATTAGATAATGGACTCGGTCCTAAGTACTAAGCATTTAAATATTAGCAGTTTCATATTTCTTAATTACACAACACCTTTCTGTTTGCAGTATTAAGAGTATTAAACCTTTTGAATGAGACATCCTGTCTACAAATGTTTCAATTTCTTATACTACAAAACTGTCAGTAAACGAATTATGTGAATTAAATGTATTTCAATTGAAACATTCGAATATAGATATTTAATGTTTTCTCTCTGTGCCATTTTTACACTAAAGGTAAAAGTTTGGTTTCAAAATCGTAGAATGAAGACAAAGAAGTTAAAAACTCGTTCATATCCAAGCAATTGTATTGTACAACACAATGTGAATAAAACCACCTTGAATGCAGAGCAATACTCAGCACTATCTGATAAACAAAAATTTCTTCAACTAACGAATCACTGGAATCAGAATATTTCTTCAAATTCTGTTATCTCTTCCATACTCAATTATAATATACACGATGATGCTAAAAATCATTCATAAACTTTATAGTTTATAAATTTCATACGATTGTGATAATACTGATGATAAAGTTAAACAATGTATAACTATTTCCTGATGATTTTGATGTTCACTGGTGAAATGTTGAACAAATAGTTATAGCATTTTTCAAAAATGTCGATTTTACTCTTTACTTTTAAATTGATGAATTATTTCAAACTTTTTTGTCAGATGACTATTCACGGTGATTTACATAAAATGAGAATAATGTTATACATTGTTCTGGTGGGTGAACAATAAGCTGGATAATTTTGTAATTTATAAATCCTTAACCGTATTACAGTATAGATATAATACTTTGGCGCTTTATACACGCGAATAAAAAGTAAGCATGCAGGAATCTTTAGTACTTCATAATTACCAAGATTTAACTGTCATATAATACAAAATAAGCTTTTCTTATCAGTAAAGTAACTAGAAAAGACATATAAGAAAGTGTTTACATTTAGTAGCGTATTCAACCTTGTCATTGGACTATGTTTTTCCATGTTGTTCACCTAAAAGTCATTTTAGAGCAAAGAGCAGGTAAAGCTTAACACAATACTCTGCCATGCATCTTGGTAGAGTCCTATTCGCGGTATTCATGTAAAGCGAAAGGATACATTAGAATGTTTGGCATTCATAGTCGGTTTAGTTGTCACGGGACTTTATTTTCCCAAACTATTAGTGTATACAGGCTTGAGGGCCTGAGTAGAGTGAGTAAAGAATGCGAACAATCAGTAATTTCTACGCACATATATTTTGAAGCTTCGAATTAGCTTTCTCTTAACCAGTAAATGTATACTACATTCAGCTATTCATATTTTTCGATAAAGAAAGGAAGACGAAATTTGCAGTATAAAATGATATCATTCTATTTCACAGGTTCTCATCAGCTGCATATTCATATTTTGTTGCTTAACTGGTAGAATTTCAACTTTTTTCACTCATACTGACAACTACTTCAAATCCTAATTGGTTTGTGTAGTTTTGAGATGCGTAATAGCCGTTTCGAGAAAAATGAATCCTAATGTGACACGTAAGAGGGCTATTTTGATACAACGTGTAACGATTAAGCGTACTATCCACAGTGTTCAAACCTATATGCAAGTCAGAAAATAAAAAGGTTTGTCTGTGTTGTAACTGGAGGATAATGGGATTTGTGGGTTCGTTCTACTTTTACTTCAGCACAAGAAAATGTTGTAACTGGGACTCCAACTCTTGAAAACAATATACTACTGATTACTCAGGTTAATATTCCCACATAGAGAGGACACAGAAGAAAGACTTGGAAAGTTAAAATTTGTTTCCTTGTGCGAAAGGCAATTTCACTTGAAATTGCAGCCATTTCTGTAGTTATTTTACAAAACCAATAAATGACTATCAACATAAGGAAATTGAAAGGGGTTACTTCCTTCACTTATCTAGGAAGCATCGTCTCAAATGCAGGCGACAGCATGGATGAAGATGTCAAAACCAGAATGGGAAAGATAATACATACATTCATCACTCTGAAACCAGTTTGAAAATCTTCTGCAATCAGTATAAAGAACAAGATAAGGATTTTAAACACCAATGTTAAGTCACTTCTTCAGTATGTTTCAGAAACTCGGCGCAGGCGCCACGTAAATCATTGCGAATAGGCTACTGCAGACTTTTATCAACATCTGACTTCGCTGGTTCCATACGGAAGATTTTTTTTCCTTCACGTTCTTGAGTGGAACATAGGGCTTCAAGCTAGTGGCTTGAAGTTTCTGTGGCAGTGTTTATTTTACAGGATGGGGTTGCTAGCCTCATGCCCAACCTTTCCTCTTCACCAGCATCATTTCTGGCTTAGCGAGGTGAAGGAGTGCGTCGTCCGAGGATCGAATCCCGGACCATGTGCATGGTCGGCGAGCGTCCTAACCGCTATACCACCGACGCATGTTCAGAACTCGAATGGACAATGACGAGTTGGGCTGTGGTTCGAGGGTGGTATCGAGGAGGAGATTAGAGACTATAGGCAATCATGGGGTCAGCTAAAGAGGACCTCAGAGAATAGGAAAATATGGAGATGTTCTGTTGAAGCCCTATGTTTCACTCGCAACCCAAGGGAACAATTATAATGATTATATCTTAAGATATAGAAACTATTATAGGTTTCCAGGCCGTAGGTGTTACGAACTTCCTGGAATAATTTGAGCGCCGAGTCAGATTGATTCATTATAAATTATTTAAATTAATCCCAGCGTGTTAAGAAAATCAAAACAAGATTTTTCTGAACGTTTTGCTGTGTAAGCCACAGCTTCTTCAGCAGATTTATTCGGATTTTTGTTAATCATCAAAATATATAGTCGAAAATTTTTTACATAAATTAAAGTCAGTTTATTTGAAGGTCATTTGTTCATGGACATTTTTACCAATAGAAAATATGTAAGCAGTCATCACATATATTTGTAATGACTAATGTCAAGTTGTTGTTGTGACTTTAATTAATGTAAAAAATTTTTGATTATATATTTTGATGATTAATAAAAATCCGAATAAATCTGCTGAAGAAGCTGTGTCTTACACAGCGAAACGTTCAGAAAAATCTTGTTTTGATTTTCTTAACACGCTGGGATTAATTTAAATAATTTATAATGAATACAGAAACTATGTTTCCACTGGTATAACATGTAACATAAAAATCCCATCAGTTTACTCCACAGCCGAATTTCTGGTTTATAGGTAAAGTAAACTATGAGCCATAGTATATTTGCTTCTGTCCCAACAGACTGCAACCATAAAAGTTCTTTCTGTTGATATACTCTGTATCTAAGACACTCTGATATATGATTCCGTGTAAGAGTCTTGAGTATTATACCCACCTGTTGCAATCATGAGTATGTTTCATGGTCTCTTACCAAAGGAGTGAACATTTACCTGAATTTCAGAAGCTTCCATGCTTTTAACTCTTAACTAGCTGTGATAATAACTAGAAAATTTAAGGGAGTGGTTAATTCATGATGCAACATTGTGATATGAAGAATATTTATTTTGGTGAATTAAAGCTCATTCAGCGAATTATAAGATACCGTATGGTTCTAAGAATTGATACATAATCAGATATATCAAAGTCGGAACCAGCTGCGATCATGCCTCAGTTTCCATATGCTATTGAAAGCATCAATAAGAGCATGTCCCATGAGGATACATATTTGTCCACCACTGACCTATAACTGCTGCCTTGACGTGGAAGTCGAGTTTGCATATCACAATAACCCAACGAACTATACTGGCAGTAAGGAATGTTCCTGTAGGTAGTACCGTGGCTGAAAGATCATTTGGATAGCAGTTAGGCTAAGTTCAATTAGTATCACAGTATTAGTTGCTCACACTATGTTGGGGGTCTGAAGGCGAAGTTGTACTGGTGGCTAATGGGGATTTAAAAGCAGTAAGATGCTTCTCCAATACAACCACCTATGATGTCCCTACTATCTATGGAAGAAGGATTAGGAAAGGTTAGTCCCGAAAACTGTATACCCCGACTTATCTTGCGGCTATCCGTAATGAGTGGGGGTAAGATATAACTCTGGAAACCAATCCAAACAGGCCGTGTGTGACCGGCATCAAACAGTTGTCCCCTGAGCTCTGCGGTAATGCAACGGTAAAGCCGCTTCTGTTTTCAGTATTTCTCTGGCGTAGTCGTGATATCCGGCTGACTGTCAACCGAAGGGCGTCTTTACTGCTGAGCAGTCCGCTCCGTCCTCCTTTATCACTGTGAGTGAGACCTGGCCATTGAAAGTGAAAGACATGAAAAGCTAGGCTAGCTGTGTTTGATCATAGGTATCTGAGTGCTATCTCCCGTGTGAAATAGCATAACAGAGTGAGCAATATTGAGGTTAGGCCTCGGTCGAGTGCTAGGTAAGTAGGGAAATTCACTAAACGAAGCTGTAAAGTTACATCGATTGAGAAGGCTAGGACATACGTTACGTACGTTTGGACATCGCCTTCATCGATAGATGTTAGTTGACAAATGATCAGGTTGGAAAAGAGCCAGTGGTGATCAAACCGATCATGGCTTCATCAGTCAATGAAATCCCGACCCATAGCTGCCACCTTGACGTGGTGATTGGGCTTGCATATCGCAATGACCCAACGAGCTACACTGGCTGGAACTTATGTTCCTGTGGGGCCTACCATGCCAGAAAGGTTGTTTAGATAGCGGTTAGACAAAAAGGAGTTACTCAATCCAATACTATGATTCAAACAAATTCACAAAATATCATGCCGGATCGGTCGGGGCCCGGATTAACAACGACCACGCTTCCTGCTGCCGTGTCACAGGGCAGAAGTGATAAATATGCTACTGAGACACACCAAACAAAAATGAACAAACAAAAACAGGCCGCATGTGACCGGCCTCAAGCAGTTGTCCCCTGGGCTCTGCAGTCACGCAACACTAACCTTTTCTCTATTTCAGGTACCCGAAGATTCAACTAACTTCCACGGTGTGGGCAGCCGGGAAGTAACAGCCGCCCACACACTTCCAAAAGCACACGAAGCCTACCTGAGCATCACTCTCCCTTACTCACATCACCTTCCTCATCTTGCTTCTCTACTACAGTTAGCACTATTCTTCAGGCTAGTGAGTCATCGTCACTTCATTCTGCGACCACAAACAACGATGAGAGCCATAGAAACAACCCAGATAGCCTTTTAAAGCCACGTCGCCAACTTCATATAGGAGCTTTTAACGTCAGGACCCTCTGCCAAATCGGACAACAGGCATCACTAGCAAGAACTCTGGAATCTACAGCCATGGATGTATGTTGTGTTTCGGAGACACGCATACAAGACCCGAGTGTGGCCATTCACTTGACCTCACCCGGTCAACAAGGTAAATCTGCAAAATTCACTTTAAGGGTGTCGGGAGACCTCTCAGCTAGCTAGCGAGGACTCGCAGGTGTAGGGATAGCACTGAGTGTTAGGGCGGAAAAATCACTCCTTGACTGGATCCTAGTAAATAGTGGTATGTGTGCGGTCAGTCTGAAAGGGTCGGCGCTACCCGTCGTTGCCTTTTCGTAGTCTCCGCTTACGCCCCAACAGACTGCAGTTCGGATGAATTAAAAGATGACTTCTACCTGAAACTGTCTAATTCGCTGCAA